AAAACAGTACTTATGACAAACAATGTGATATTACTAATTTCTCAGTAGACGTAGAAAAGTATTACCTTAACACAGTTGCAGTCTACACCACTGAGAACAAGGCAGCCAATGATAAACACTGTGAACTAGCAGATTGTCCTTCCACAAACAAGAAGGCTAAACAAACATTTTCTTTCCTCAGCAAATTCTGTAACATCCTCTCACAGTGTGCATAGAAACTACAAATACCAAACATAAATGGAAGCAAATAAAATCATACTCCTCAAGTTTTTTCACTTCTTATACTTACAAGTAACACTTCATTTTACTAACAATAAAAGGTAAAACAGCAAAGGTAATTTTGCCACCTTTCAATTTTGCTTACTTTGCTCAGTCAAGCACAAGGTTAGTTTCTGGATTAACAGTAAGAATCAAACCTTGGTCACACACACAAGGGGCATGGTGCACTCATCCAGTCCACCAGGGAAGGGTTTTTTGGCATTTCCATCCTGCATCCCTTTGAGAGGTGGCCACAGGAGAGTTTATCAGCCCGTGCCAACACATTTCAGAGTTTGGGGTCTTACACAATGATGGAGAGAAACAAAGATGTCTCATTCCCTCCCTCAACTGTGAGGGTAGTATGTAAACAGAAAAGTAGTATGAAGGACTACCATCAGGAATCTCTTCAAAAACATGAAGCAGGCTTGCTACTAGATTCCTCTCATAGTGATGTCACAGTGAGATCAGAAGAGTATGAGTTCCTTATCCATTTGCAATTACTCTGGAAAGAATACAATGCAGTAGCAATGTCAGAATATACCTTCTCTTCTGTAGTACCTTGGTGCTAGCAACAGAAAAATGATGAAAAAAAAAAAAAGGAAGGCATGGCCTTTCCATGGTGACAGAGAAAAAAAAGACAAAAATTTTGTTCCCTTTGTCTCACCTTCTGTATTCTCTCCCCTCTAAAAGGAAATAACGTAGTCCTGCCAACTGTTTGTGAAGAAGTTCAAGAAGAGCCCTGGACAACAGTAGGGTCTGGGACCCTTTTACAAAGAGCTATACAAACAGAAGCAGTATCTGCAAGACTGGAGGGCAGACCAACTCCAGCAGAGCAGGAACTTTCCTTTAAGTCCTCAGGAAATCCAGGAGAATAGCTAATCATGCAAGAAGATGACACATCTCTCTGTGTGTCTGCATACAGAAGGCTCACTGATACTGTGCTATCTCTCACCCAGCCCATAAAACAACTATGTCTGTAGAAATTCAGCATATCTTCCAAATAAACGAAGTACAGTGTGTAAAAGTAAAATGTTACTGTGACTCTCAAAGAACTCCTCTTTTAGATTGGTAAAACAGAAAAACATTAATTTACAACTCACAGCTTATAATGCAATATTATGTGGAGCCATATAAACACATATATGGCACACAATTTCATTCATACCATATAATATATACCATTTGTATATACATATATAAATGTTTATGCAACTGAAAAGCCTGTGCATATTAATTACTTTATAATCACAGTCTCTTTCTTTAATCTCATACATTAAGACACAGAGGAATATGCTATACAGTTTTCAGCACTATATTGTAAAGGGAATGAAATCATCAAATCTAACTAGAATATGGGAGACATTGCATTGACATCTGGCTATCACAAGCCTCTTTGGTTTGTGTTAGGTGTATCACAACTTTTTAGTTGAAATTTAAACCGAGTCAGTGCACGTGAACAAAATCTTGCATTAGATTTTTCTCTCTCCTTTCAAAACCAATTCTTTCTATAATTCCTTGAAAAGAAAAGGAATGCAGGAAAGGATGTATGAAGCAAAAATCAGTTTCAACTCTAAAGTTCACCTTGTAAAAAAGAGAAGCCTTTTCCCATTAAATAAGAGCTAGCTGGATTAGATGAAAGCCTGACTATTTAAAGTGACTATTTCATATTCACCTCATACATGTAAGAGTTCGCTCACTTCCTGCATTTCACAGTACCACTACCCACATGGCAAAAACTCTTAACAACAAAAAACTAGCAAAGACCAACAGAAATAGAGCTTTCAAAATTCTAAACAAGTCAACAGTATTTTTAAATGATCAGGTGAGAAACTGCACTTCTGTTCTTAGAAAATTATATTGTGCAGCTCAATTCTCTCCTTAAGAAAATACAGAAACAGTAAAACCGCAGTTACCTAGTCTATCACTTCTTAGCATAATTGTCTGCTTATTCTCTATTCTGGAATGTCTTAACAGAGACTCTGACCTAAAATCTTGGCTAGTACATAGCACAAATGAGTTTCTCTTAAAGTATTTCTATTTCTTTTAAAGAAAAAAATAGTTAATGAAATTATTATTCCATTATACTTTAGTTCCAAAATTCTAGCAGTATTTCTCAGCTTTTTCTTAGTTGAAACTTTCTAATCTTTTAACTTTTTTTTAATCTTCTTAATTTTTTTATTTGTAAGTATTGTTAAGTTGCCATTTTCTCTCTCCTATTGGCTAATAACAACAAGATGCAATAGATACTACGTAATAACCATAGATGATACTGCAACATTATAAATCCCTCCAAGAAGATAATCTAATATATCCTTGTTTGGCTACCCTCTATTCTTGTAACTCTGCCTAGTAATACCTACTAATTACAAAGACAAATATACAAAATCATAAAGGATTAGTTTATGTGAGTTTCTCCAGCACAAAACTCAGCCAATCTGTGCATTTGTGAAGGATGGTCAGTGGTATTTAGGGTGGGGTGTTTCTAACTTACATTAACATCACTCCTGACATGTTATCTATTAGCATAACCACATGAAACTATTAATGATCACATAATAAGACAGTATGGTATAAACCAGAGTCTAAAAGGAATAGAAAAAAACAAGTAATTAATCTGTTATCTTGAAGAGACTTTTGCTTTGTTCTCCAGTCAAGATAGTACACTAGTCCTGTAAAGAATATGATTATGAAGAATCTGTCTTTGAAAACACTACTTATCCACTATTAATTAATACTAATATTGATATGTATTAATTCATCATTTTTACTCTTTCTTAGTTTCTTTTAAGACTGCATCTTGTTGTCCAGGCTGGTTTCACTGAGAGTAACTCCCACAAAAAGATGATCTTTGTGCATCTTACAACCTTTATGCTGCATGTGACACTCCATAGATTCTAGGCAACACCACAAACTCCTCCTAGCCCTGGCCAGCAACGGCTAATAGCTGACTTCTATTTTGTTTTATGTCATTTAAAATAAAAAAGAATCACAAGTGGAATACAGCAGTTTTGGAAAACCAAATCTGAAAACTCCCTTAAAAACTGTACTGGGACACCAGCCAATTTTGAAGTAAACTCCATGCTAACCTTCAACAAAACTATCCTCCTTCCCCACAGGGAAGAATGATGACAATGGGAACCTTCCCTTTAACATAACATGATTACAGAAACTGTACCTTTCTCTCAGAAGTACAGGACTAACAAAGGAGTTTCTGGGGTTTGACTGTCTTTTTGCAAATTGATACCTGATTGGAGTTACCAAAATAAAAAAAATCATTCACTACTCGCCCACAGGGAGTTGGACAGTCCATTATCTGAAGCAGAAAAGGTATACCAGATTCTAAAAATCTGTGTTTGCTAAGCACAGAATTTACTTTTAAAATAGGTGGTATACTACAACTGCAGGAATATCCAACATATGGTCCCACTTCCCAATTAATTATTTGCTGGTAAAGTGTTAAAATGTCCTTGGCTTCACCTTAGACACAATCATCCCAGCTGGTCATTATCTACCTGGAAAGGGGCCAAAGAATCTCAGCTGTCAGTACTCCACAAACATGTATGATTTGTCCTTTTTTTTTCATTTACTTCACATTCATAGAGCTACAGTTAAAAGAAGGAAGTCTTATTACACATGGAAGTGGAAGATTTTGTATCTCTTTTATTGTTGTGATTTAGCATATTTGGAGTGCAGGTGATAAGTGGAATCATAAGAACTCTTGCTTACGTGTTTACTGAGAACTGATTTATCCAACCTTACTGACACAGTTTTTATTCTTGTGTTCCTACTTAATTCAACTTTGTTTTACACAGATATGTGAAAAAACACAGAAGACTTCGAAAGTCAGAGCTGGAACAAAGTTATTGATTGGTGATGTATCTGCACAAAGCCAGGAAGATTCAATAGGAAAATATTCCTCAATCAAGTGAATGTTAACAGTCAGCTTGTAGCAAAAGTAACAGTCAGCTTGTAGTAAACCTGCAGGTCAACAGGTGGAAAGCAAATGGCTTTTCTCATTTGCACATTACTTCTGAAAGAAGCCACAGGACAGCTGGGAGAAGAAACACATGTAAACAAGGCAGACCTAATGATTTCCTAATTAGAAAGAAGATATTATCTTCCCATTAATAGGTAAGGTAATTGACCAAAATCCAACAGTTTTCCCCTCAGTACAAGTAAACATAGGTGTCCTTCCTCACTGAACTGTCACACGTTTAGGCCAGCCACAAAGTTGTCAGTTCTGCTTGATTCGCTTGGATACTGTACTCTGCAACAGCTGTCGGAAATAATACATTAGAACAGCTGTTGTGGCAGTTACAAAGGGCATGGAATTTTAATTGGACTGGATATTAATTGGGGGGTGGAGTCTTTTTTTTAAAAAAAAAAGAACAACGAAGTTAAGAAAGATATATTCAAAGAATGACAGATGTCTTTAAGGGATTTGACCCATGTCTGGTAAGCAAGGTTGGTCTTTGTTTTGACTATGTAACTTTGTGGCAACAGTCTCCACCATCTGAGCAGGAACCATTACTTGCTTAAGAAAAGGGGCATTAAGAAGAAAAATAGTAAGGAAGTTGCATAAATAATCCTTTTCAAAGACTAGCTGTGATCTAGAGAGGACCTCACAGTGTTTTAAGAATTGCTCAAAAGGAGACTCATTCCAAGACCCTTAGTAACCACCAGCTGAAAACAAAACTGTTCATCATGGCCAAGACCTAAGCACAAATGAATAATAAGCTTACTTTCAGCATCAGCATAGAGTAGCAAGCACAGGAGCACCACCACTGGCCTGACTACGTGCATCATCCAACAGCTTGGCACCAGCATGCTTTGGCAGCCTTGTTCTCACTGGCTTAGAAGCCACTGCAAGTCTGTCCGGTCTGAAATTTCAGATGAAGTATTTTCAGAGCCTGTAGAACAGGTAAGAAAAAGAGAAAAATACAGTTAGCAAGAATAGGGCAGAGACTTCCTGCTTTTTTTTCTAAGCATTCAAAATTTGAGGCAAAACTATTTCAAAAGACAAATGGGGAAAGGGAGAAAGAAAAGGAAATATGATTCATTTCAGGCTACTGGCATATACCAGAAGATTCAAGGTACAGTATATGTTAGCACTGTTCCAACATATTTCTCAGTGCACCTTTTCTACCATAATCAAGCATCTGTTACACCCTGGATCTTTTGTTGTATTCAACAGCACCTTCTGAATCAAAAGAACTGTCATTGTTAATGAAGTATAATACATCGCTGGAATATGCATGTTGCAAGGAGGAAATCAAAGCAGATTCGATATCCAGAATAAAAAGTCCACTTGCAAGCAGCATACTGAGAGCTGATGCCCTGGCATTTGGTAAGAATAACACAGCAAAATCGGCTTCGTGAGGTGTTCTTAAAGCTAGACATCAAATGCTAGCATATTGCATAGTTCAACAACTCTCGAAGGTTAAAATTCCTGTTGCGATTTCCTGTACGTATCTGAATTATGCCTAATAGAAAACAGAAATCCAGCATTGAATAAAGGGCTGAGATTCCAATTCAATCCATCTCATTTATTATGATGCGTAATTGAATATGATACACTGGGAGCACTACAGCTCAAGTACCTGACTTAAAAAAGCAGTGTCTCGTTGTCCAAATTTACCACACCTGAGCAATAACAGAAATTAAGAAATATAAAAATATTTTTCCCTCTCATAGGAAATACTAGAGATATTCCCAAATAGCCTGATGTTGTCACCAAAATCACACTGAAATGTAATTTTACTTTTTGAAGGGTCTGCAACATACAAATTTCGGCAAGTTTGATACTATCTTTTTCATTACCACACAAGTGGTTTCCATGCAGTGAAGATAAAAATCAAAAGGGCTGAGAAAAAATTATACTAATTACCATTCCACTAGATAGATCTTACAGATTTGTGGGTGGTATAAAGAGCCCATTTTACAGTACAGTGCAATGCTCAAAGAATCTACTCAAGGAAGAAAAGACATGAGCAGCTGTTAGAAATCTATGGCTGTTACGAATCTCTTTTGTAAAACTATCTTTTGAATCAGCTACTGCCATCAAAAAAACACAAGCCTAAGAAATCTTCATAGGCAAAGTGCTGAAGGCACTACCTCCCCCTTTTCATTGCTACCATCTTCATGCCAGCATTTCAAATGACAGCAAAGTCCATGAAACATCAGTCCTGTTGGACTCAATCTGCGTCTGCGCAAGTGTATCAGAGCCAACGGCTACATAACGATTCCAAAGCTATCACAAAGATGGAGATGTATGAAATGTACTTTCAAGAAAGAGGCAATTTTGATTTTGCTTATTCTATACTGCAGGTGTTACAAGGGAGCCCTGAACTATCTCCAAAGGCAGCTCACTTGTGGACAAAACTTTATCTTTTTATTGGCACACAAACACACTAGCTGACATGTGAAGGTGAATGGCAGAAATGTGATGGGTACTAAGATTTGTGTCTGAACCATAAACTGCTCCCTTTAGCAAGGGAGGAAGTGGAGACAAAACAACACCGATAATTAATAAAGGGAGCAGAGGAGGGAAAAAAAAAAAGATGACCACAAAGGTGCTTGTTTTACACAACTGTTTTTTCATGACGCACTGGAGATAATTTTCACACATTTCAAACACTCCCACCAAAATATTAAATGTGGTATCTAACAGAAAAAATATTATTTTCTGCTTGGGAAAAAATGGGGAATTTTAAAAATCTCATGATCCTGGTATGTGAATGTGCATTTATCCTCTACAAGCTGTCTGTAAATGAAAAGATGGATCACAAAACCTGGCAAATAAAATGTTGAGAAGGAAAAGGAGCTTCTTTTTTTTTTTTTTTTTTTTGTTTTAATTAAAAACCCCATTCCATTCTCTCACTCTAAATGCACATACAAGCACTTAGGAATACTGCACTCATTGTCTCTGCTTTAAAGGTGATATTCATTATCACTCAGATCATAAAAAACAAAGCCCTCTATTTCCTTTCTTTGCTGCTTCCAAGTGTCATGGCTTTAGCTAACCTGAGAAATATACTAAGGTTTCCAAAAGACCCTTTGCCTGTTGTTTTTCCTCTTCACCTGCTTATGCCTCCATAGCTAACTTCTAGTATTTTAAGTCAAGTAAACAGAAGCACTTGAATAAAGATGGCGGGTGGGTCCCTTTTCTTTCAAGTGAGTTGAAGATATGCTGTTAGTGGAGGCATGCAGAAGATGGGCTGATAACACTAGAGGGAAGCAAGCCAAGAGACAACCAGGTGCTATCAAGGTTCTCCACACAACTCTGCCTCAGCTTTACCTACAAAAAACCATAGCTTCAGCCAGGGACCCTGCTACTGACAATTGTACCAACCCTGGGATTGAAAATCATCTGGTACGTAGGTCTATATTTGGCTTATTGGTGAAAACTAACATGGAGATGCAATTCCTTACAAGGACTAAATGCAATTATCGAACAAGTATTAACTTCCAAATCAAGCTACCTTCATAATTCCAAAGTAAAATGTTCATCTAATACATTATTAATTCTTGAATGAAGTAGTCTCTTCCCTTTTCTATTTCCTCCTGACAATGGTTTGTTACATCTGGAGTGTGGTACCAGAGACAGTGAAAACACAAACAGCATTTGCAGCACCAGGTTATACTGGCCTCTTCCTCAGAGGGACAACATTTGTCTTGCAGAATGAATCCAGAGTGAGGTACTCTCTTAGCAGCCCCTGTTACAATGTTCACACTGTGCCAGTGCAGAAAGATGGGGCTTATCCTTGGTAGAAAATTGATCACAATAGCTACAGAGAGACCAACAGTTATTTGAAAAAAACTCTTTGTGAAGCTTTAATAAAAGCTGGTTTTATTTTAGGATAAGTACTGTGTAACTGCTGTATCAAATAATCAAAAATGACTTGTACAACATCTTTAAAAGAGCTACCTACAATAATTTCTTCCACGACAGCTATTTTGGTCTCTTTCCCCAGACAAAAAAATTGTTAATACAAAACTGAAAACCAAAAGGTGGAAATAGGTAATATATCTATCATTAGCACATATGTAAGAGGATAGATTTTCCCTGATTAGTGGTATCTATCAATAAGATCAGTAAAAGTGAAGATGTCCAGCCCCCCAGAGTGTTCAATGCAGAGACACAAAGGAATTCTCCTCAGCTGGGGCATGGTAGATGATAGCACCTGGGCATGGGCACATATACCAACCATCCTCAAAAGGATCAACTGGGTCAATGAAACATCTGAACACTGAACTCCTTCCCTGCAGTCTGCTTACTTTAGTACCAAAAATAATCTTATAGGTGCTAACACAGTACTCAGGAGGAGATGGTCCCTGCTCCAAGACAGTTAAAGTTATAGAAAATGCTTACCTGCAGGCAAATCTTAGAACAACAACAAAAAAAAGTAAATACTAATTTTATTTATCTGCTTGCTTTTCCATGCCTGCATGTACATGTAAATGCTTGATAACTCAACACAGAAATTTAGCACAGCAGGGAAGAGCTCTCAGAAGAGACTTGAACACAGACAAAAAAGAAGTCATAGCAGATGTGGGGAGCCACATGGAAAAGAAACAGTAACTTACAAATTTCAGGAATGCAGGAATGTGAAGATATGAGAGCTCATTTGTGCTATTACACAAACAGGATTTCTAGTTCAACTTTTCTAAAGTTTGAAAATATTCAGAGATAGGATTTCAGTTCACAGCCATCTCTGGTCTGCCACAAGGACTTACGGGAAAACAACTGGATACGCGTTATGCTTTTTAAAAAACAGTGTTTCTCTAAGAACAAGTGGCAGGCAAAGATTGAAACAGAAGACTGTGTAGACATTCTGTTTCTACACTTCATTCATAACACCCACAATCCTAAATTACATCCATTCCCTAGCCACAGATTTGTAATACCATACATATGCAAGTGAAGAGATACAAAAGAAATCTGAAACATTACTAGAACCAAGTCAAGGAAGAAGTGACAATACTTCACATCTTTGCATATCAACCAAGGTCCCTCCCTAAAGAAGAAAATAAACAGATTTCATAGACAAATCTTGGCTACACAGATCTGACTGACAGCTGAATCATTACTAGAAAGAATGGGGAAAAAATGCATAAAATTAATGTTCATAAACTATTTAACCAAAATCAATTCAGAAATACCTCTGGGTAAAACAACATCTTTTAAAGGGAATTAAATGTATTTTCCAAATCAGTGAAGGAAACTGTCAGAAGTTCTACGTTTAGCTTGCTCTTTTATTGATTAGACACGATAAAAGTTTTCATAGTTGACCTGCTGGAGAAGTTCCATGCTTCATTCTGTTTTTATTCTTAAAAAAGCCGTAATGCAACCACACAATTAAGGAAATTTAAAAGACAGATGTGTTGAGTGTTCCAAAGCTTAGTCTTATCAGCCCCTGGATAACAATACACCTTAATGCTCCTCTATCATTCCTGAATTTCTCTATTACAGTTATTCCAACATGAGTGAGCACCCACCCTGGAACAGCCGGTTTCTGATCTCAAGCAGGCCTTTGAAGTACATCACTATAAAAGCACCACTGAGTTGCAATGATAGGTGGAATTTTTCTTATATAAACAATGTAATATATTCAATCTGATTCCACATTGTAATTCTATTTTGGACTTCAGCAAGAATTCTTCTGTTACCATGCAAAACAGAAAATAGATTTTCAATAACCAAAGAAATAAAGGAAATAGATAAATTAATTTAGTGAATAAATGAGTTCAATGACAGCAAACTACCTTAAAAATCACATCACAGGGTTGTTTTACTCATGTAGAAAGTTGTTTAAAAGTTCACCTTT